AAAGCTGACAGTCCTGCAGTTAAAGCACGTCTTGTTCGTTTCATTTCAAATCCATTGTGGTGGTGTATAGAGCCAAAAATGTTAGAATTGTGTCGATGTCCCAATATTTATGGACCTGACTGTATATCCTGAATAATAATAGTTATTATTATACAGTATTTATATAGCATCAAAAAGTTAATAATAATAATAATTAATAATAATAATGTACGCTGCAGCTGATAAATTGACATTTAGGAGCAGTTGTGCATTTTTTTTTCAGCAGCCCCTGAACTCTCCTTTATGTTTTCCTATGTGTCCATGTACACAGAGTCATTTACAGGTAGCTGAGATTACAGGCATTTTTTAAAAGCACAAAAATTGCGTTCAGGAGTAGAGTTTACTGACGTTTCAAATGCCAAACACTTGTAACCGCGTGTAAACTCTTGTAAACATGTTTATGCGCGTTTGCGTTTAGACTCGTTTTTTGGGCTGGTCCATATCCAGATGCTGTTTCAATGCCTTTTTTTCTTCTTCAAATGGACGTGGTACAACAGCGCAGTCAGTTCCAGGTTTCGTGTGCAGGAAAAAAAAAAAAAAAAAAAAAAAACGCGATAGAATGCGCTGCATTATGCTCATGATGGGATCCATAGTGAATACAACCAAAAAAGACAGGTCATCTCAACACATACTGCTCTCTCATTTTCCTCATAAAATGTCTAAAATAGTTAATTTACTATGTTTCAGTGCATTCTGGGCATTTGGAAGGGTCTCCTGCGGCCCTCTTTTAAAAACGCTTCTAAATGCAAACGCACATGAACGCGGCTAAACGCGCATAAAAGTGGTAGGTAAATGCAGCTAAACTGGCGTTTTTTACCTACGTTTTCTAGCAGTTAGTTTCCAGCGGTCATAAAAGTTTTTCAAACACCCCTTGTACATGAGCCCTTATAGTGGAATTAAACCCTTCTACCCTTTATAGCCCAGGAAGCTGCTTCTGTTTGATCTGCAACTGCCATGGTGTTGCACATGTGATCAATTATGACACCAGCCATTTGATGGTTTGATAGTTTGGTTGAGGGCACAAGCAAATGTGATAGTTAGCAATCCCGTCATTCTAGGAATGTAACTGTTTTTTTAAACCATTAATTTGATTTATGATTTACTGCTGTTTAGGGACTCTGGGCTTCAGCAAAATGGCAGCTTCCAGCAAGAGGAAGCAGGAGCAATACTGGAGGCAATTTACAGCACACACTAATTTTGGTAGCAGAATTATTCATGTGCAATGTATGTTCCTATCTAAAGAACATTATTTTTTTATCAAGTTGTTATGGGTAAAGTTCCACTTTAATAAACCACTTGTATGCACCCTGAACTCTCAGTAATCAAGTCACTTGCACAAGCCCAGAACTGTCAGGTACATTAGGTGCTCTACAAGAAGATTAAGCGCTCGCTAACCGCACTACAGCCAAATGACAGCTACAGCGAGGTTGTCCATTTCTGGGAGGGCGTCATATGACATCCTCCCAGAACGCACCCTCCTGCGCGCCGCCAGCAGCACGCACCCGGCGATTTCCGTGATTGCTGTGTCCTATGGACACAGCTGATCACTTGCTGAGGTAAAAGGCCAATCACAACAGCATTTTACCACGTGATCAGCTGTGTCCAATGACACAGCAGATCACTGAGTAAATACAGTTGCGGGTTATCAGCTGCACTTTCCTCACGCTGTCACAGTGTGAGGAAAGTACTACCAATAACCAGCAACTGTCACAGAGTAGATCGGCACTGATCATCAGTGCACATGTCCTCTGTGACAGTTGCCCACCAGTGCCACCTATCAGTGCCTAGCAGTGACATCAGTCATTGCTGCCCACCAATGCTGCCTATCAGTGCATCATCATCAGTGCTGCCTATCAGTGGCCATCAGCCCACGTGCATCATCATCAGTGCCTCCTCATCAGTGCTGCCTATCAGTGCAGCCTCATCAACGCACATCAGTGAAGGAGAAAAAGTACATGTTTGCAAACTTTTATAATAGACACAAAAAAAAAAAATTTTTTTTCTAATTTTTTGCTTTTTTTTTTCGATTATAGCGCAAAAAATAAAACACCCAGCGACAAGTACATACCACCAAAAAAATCTCCACTTGTGTGAATAAAATGATAAAAGTGTCATATGGGTACAATGTTCCATGACCGCACAATTGTCATTCAAAGTGCGACAGCGCTGAAAGCTGAAAATTGGCCTGGACAGGAAGGGGTAAAAGTACCCAGTAGGCAAGTGGTTTAAAGCCTGCTGCACACAATGAGAACATCAGACGAATGATCATCTTTTTTTTGCATGTTAGCCTCATATTGAAAACTAACAGGTTACTAGAGTTAGACATTTTCGTAAGATAGAATACAATGTTCCACAATGATGCAATGTATTGTATTCTAATGTATTGTTTCATTTCCAAGCATGCATGGTCTTGGTCACTTGATTTTTTTTTTTTATGCATGCATACTGTACTGATTAAATGAAAATCATTCGGTCTGTTATCATACAGAAACATTTTTGTGCTTGTTCCTTCAGATAATTCCACATGAACTGTTGTGGTTGCCTCTTAAAAGCCATGTACTAAAGACTATTCATTCCAAAGTGGAACTTTTTGTCGATTTTCTCATCGTGTGTACTAGGCTTTGGAGACCTGTCACCTTCTCATCAACCCGTCCTTCCTCTATCCTACCAATCTTTTTCCCTTTCCTACACCCTCTTTCTTCCTTCCTTGCTACCTTAGTTCTCTACCCCTCTTCTCCTCTCCTTACTCTCCATTACCAACACTGTATTTGTTTACCAACCAAACTTCCCCCACTTTCTGATATTTTTCCTTCCCTCTATGCCAATGTAGATTCTAAAATACAAGATGGCGAGCTTTTTAAGTTACTTCTACAAGTTACCACTAGGTAATTAACCACCCCACATCACACTATTTTTGATGTCTTAAAGAATTTGGGTTTACCACCATTATTTGACCCAGTACTTCTCAAGGCTTCCATATCTGTCCCTCTTTTGGAATCAATCCCCTTTATCCATCTATCCTCCTCAAATGTGTATTTAACAGCCAGAGTTGTGTATATTGGAAGAAATGTTCCTCCAGCCCTCAAAATATTGCATTTCCTATTTTTAAATGATAGTAAAAAAGGAAAAGCAGCAATAAAAAAAAGCCCCAATGATCCTTCTGCTTCAATCCACCATGGTCCACATGATCAGGAGTGTGTGTCAAGGCTGTGTCTATTGCCTAAATTGTGGGAAGGTTTAAAAAGTATGGAGGAATACTTAAGCAGGTGCCTAGGAACAGATGTACCCATTACAAAATTTTCCCCTCAACCCCTGTTCCATGGTCAACTGCAGAAATTGGATTTCCCATCACATTTTTCTGTCTCTGTGACAAACTGCTGGATTCAGCTTATCAGTAGGTCCATCCTGCTGCGACAGAGTGCAGTGGTTCCTGTGAGGTTGTTAACAACAGAGGAGGTGCTCTTTGGGACCTGAAGTTGAAGATCCACATACAAAGTCTACTGAGAACACCAAATGGAACATTTAAGAGTCCAAAATCCTTTTTTTAGCCTAAGTGTAGTCAAAATAAAAAATCAGCACAAGGGACATAACTTACAATCAGTAGGATGTGCTCCTTGTGCCGATTCCTCTCCTGTTAGTAGAAATCATCCTCCTATGTCCCCTCCCCCTCCACAATCTTCCAGTGCGGCAGGGGTTAATATAACCAAGAAGCTGTGGCAGGTTAAAAAACACAGAGAATCCAACAATGCCAACCTTTTCTGCTCAGCTGCTCTATTCATAGAAGTCATACTACAGTTTTTTATGAATAGAACAGGATCTATGAACGGAGGGGATGGAGCCATCATCATCCACCCTTCCTCCATTCAGAGATAGTAGTAACGGCTTCTATGAATATACCAGCTGGGCATAGTTAGGATCTCTTGATGAGAGCCTCTGTCAGCCCCTTGGCTGTATTAACCCCTGTGGGGCATGGATATTAATAACAGAAGAGGAATCAGCAAATGACTAAATAATGTCCCTTATACTGATTTAGCAGTTTTTTTTATTTTAGCTACACTTAGGTTTTAATAATGATAACAATTCATAACAGAGGAACAAGAAACAGCCAACATGTTTAGGGAAGGGGCTGTGGGGGGTAAACCTCTTTTCACAGCATTATTTTCTGACTCAACAATCCTTTTTTTGTCCTAAACCATACAGTTCACACAAAAATTAATCCTGGTACTGTGCCAATGTTGGGTCCTCCTAGCTATTTAACACTCAAGACCTGTAAAAGGGGATGTTTGAGTCCTATGAAACATGCTGGCTGTGTTTTGTTCTTCTATTGTAGAATATTATCAGTATTAAAGGATTTTGGATGCTTCGACCCTTTCGTTTGATGCTCTCATTAGACTTTGTATATGTGAAGAAACAAAATCCTAACAGGGGTTTTATACTTCCGTATACTAAAATATAGACAGCAAGTCTACTACATACCAATGTGTGTTTGTACATCAAAATATTTAAAGCTGGGTCAACACACTCAGCTTATTTTTTGTCCAACCCAGTGGGCTGAATGAAAAAAACCTGACAGATTGTCGTACCAACACAAGCGATATTGGTGCAGCGCTCTCCCCTGCCTCCCCCTTGGCAAAACACACTGATCAGCACTCACAGCCATTGGTTGCAAGCACCGACTTTGCTGGACTTACAAATAAAACAAAAATTTGTAGGGGTCTTACTGTACTATATGCCAAAAATAAAAAGGAAAAAGATATTGCAGAGGATAGTTCCTGATTGAAGCAGCTGCCATATAAGCGGATTTTTTTTACTTTTATTATTAATGGCCTATTTATTTGAAGGTTTCTGTTTAAGCTGGAGTTTTGCTTGTTAGCTCATTTACAGTATTCCTCAAATGTCTAAAAGTACATCATACAGTAGCTTTTGATCACTATTTAGAAGGGAATATTTTAAAATCTTACCAGTTTCTTTTCGCACTCCATATCCTGGGATTTCTTAGCTGCCCACTGCCAGATATCTCCGTTTCCTGTGCCATTGTAGTTAATTTCATCATCGGTTGTTGATGACTACAGTGGAAAACATAAAGCTCTATTAGATTAGATGAACAAAAATCACAAAAGGCACATACCCTGCTCTTGGGCTCTGAGGAAGAGGCAAGTCCTTGAAACGTGTTAGTCTGTTTGAAGTCCATTGCGGATGAACATGTAGTGTGGATTGGTCAGTGCTGTTCTTTATGATGTGCCTTTGAAATTTATGTCATTTGTGAGTACGATACCTATTTTTTATTATTTCAATAAATGTTTTTTACGGTAATGCACTAGGCCGGTGCGCCCTCTGTTTGTTTTCTTTATATCCAGTGCATATGGACTACCCCGGTCTGTTGAGGGCAGCAAGAAGTGCACATTCCAGGACATCCAAAATGTAGCCATAGCCCAAGCCAAGTCCATCCCCAAGAGCAGGAGGAGTATTTGGGTTTGATGGTTTTCACTTCTAGAACTATGAATTCAAATGTTATTTCCTAGTCTTCTGTGTCATCTATATAAACCTTGTAACAGCTTAAATAATCAAGTCATCTCCCCTGTTTGATGAGCATGTTACAACAAATTCGGTTTTTTTTTTAGCTGCAGGGAATAAATAGTGGTATTAAACTTTGTCAAGCTAGAAAGGGGATCATCAAACAGAGCACAAGATTATCGGCTAATTAGTGGAAACATTGTTCTTAATAACAGACCACAGCACGGAACAATACGTGTTTAAACAGCCCACGGCACGTGAGTATCCGTCTACGCAACATTGCCAAGTAAATGCTTGCATATATAAGAAGGTCTGAAGTCTAAATGAACTCTAGAAACTCTAAAAATACTTTGGTTGTAGTATAAAGGATTATCTGCAGACTAAGGCTACGTTCACACTAGCCTTGTGTGCAGGCGGCAGAGAGGCGTTTGGGAAGCGTTTTTACCGCTTCCCAAACGCCTCTGCCAACTCTGCACATTACAGCACATGGTGCTGTTCTAACAGGAGTGTTTGCGTCGCGTCGCGGCAAAACGGACGCCTCTGGTCGAGTCAGGAGGCTTTGAAGCCTCCTATTCTCGTCTATGGTGCCGCTCCGCAAACGCCCGGCCGGCGTTTGCGGTGCGGTTGCGACGCGGTTGCGGGGCGTTTGCGGAGCGGTAACACCACTCAAATGCATTATAGGCGTTTGTGGGGCGTTATTAACGCTCGGCAAACGCCTAGCAACCGCCGCTAAACCGCGCATGCGGCGTTTGCGGAGCGTTTGCCGAGCGTTTTGGCAAAAACAGCCTAGTGTGAACGAGCCCTAAACAAGACTGCTTTAGGGCTCATGTCATTGGTCCAAAAACACACTGCTTTCAGATTTGTACTGTAAATAGCAAAAAAGCATTTTCTCCATGATTAAGCTCCGGGGGGGCAGAGTGAAACATGTTGGGGGCATGGCTTGGCTGGAGCCCAGGCTGAGACTGCCACATACTTCTCCATTAGTGGATTTGCAGTGACGTGGGGCTTGAGGGACCTCTCTTCACCATCACAGTCCATCTCCACTCTTCATTGAAAATATAAAAAAAAAAAAAATCAGACAGACACACTCCACTTAGCTCTTCTTGTATTTTCAATACTCAGTGCATACAGTAATTTCTCCAACCCCAAACCAGCCTTGCTTCACGCATTTCACCATGCCTGGCTTGCTCACAAGGATGGGAGAAGTCAAGGAGGGAAGGAGGAAGATGAATTTAAAACACCCATATATCAATGTAGCTGTGACTCCAAAAAGCACTACTACCCAAAAGCATCTATTTTTATCTATGGGTGTTTTAAATTCCTTCTCCTCCTTGACTTCTCCTATGCTTGTGGGCAAGCCAGGAGTGGTGAAACGCATCAAGGATGGCTGGTTTTGGGTTGAAGACATTACTGTATGCAGTCAGTGCGATGCTTATTAAAAATATGGCAAGAAGATCTAATAGGAGTGTGCAGAGGAGGACTGACCATTTGGAAACTCGGACACTGCCTGAGGGCCGGGGGTCAGTAGGGGGCCCCATGAGATGCCCCTGGTACCTTTTTCATAGGCTCTTTTGAGTTTGGGCAAGGACACAGGGGTCCCATGATCCCCTATTGCCCGGGGGCCCCATGAGTTGTCAGTCCACCCCTGGGAGTGTGTCTGATTTTTTTCTATTTTCAATGAAGAGTGGAGATGGACTGTGATGGCCGGCACCCAGGTTGTCCATATGCAGGAGAGGTCAATCTTGAGTGGAGCTATGGATCTGTGTTTAAGATTTGTACTGCATTCAGTTTTATAGGGATCTGAAAGCATTCGTATTGTATGCTATGGGCTTATTGTAGTCTGTAGAGTTCGGCTGCCCAAACCTGTCCACGGTCTGATTCGGACTGTAATTTACATGGTATACATTTCTGTGAATGTTTACATGCATAACTGGACATGGCCATATGTTCTGCTGTCTAGTGGATTCAACGTCAGGGCAGAGATGAAAACAAACAATGTAATGTTGCAGGCGCAGAATGATCTCGACTTTCAGTCATGATTGACTAAATGCCAAGGTCATTCGGCACCTCCGCCGCTTCCTACACGTTAATGTTTTACATCTCACCCTGGTCCTGAATGAGTCAGTCACTAGGCAGTGGTGGTGGTGTCAATCATTCTGAATGACTGTAGGGCCAAAGTCATGTGCTCCTGCACCACTGCCTAGTGAAGGACTCATTTGAGTCAACTAGGGCTGGAGAAGATATATACTACAAAATGCACCTGAACAGTATGTGTATGTCCATAAGAGTTAGAGTGTACTATAGACCATTTGTATGCAGCATCTTGCTGACCGTTTTCTGCCAGCAAGATTCTGTGTAAATTCATAGGCCTATTTTAGACTTTAATGACTCAAATGGGGCATTCTTGTATAGCAGAAGCAACATCTCATTCAAGTATTTAGTTCATTTGCATACAGGCGTCATCAGCCCAGCACTGGATTTTTACCGGATGGGCTACAGACAATGCAGAATTATCAGGGGAGGTAGCTACTGACCAGTGTGTACCACTTACCTGTATACCAGTCTCATTCTCTTCCATGTTATCCTTGCTTGAGTTCTACCTATGGAGACATCCTTCAAGGTTTAGACTGTCCTCAGTACCGGCACTGTGAAGACAGAGACGTCAGATACATAAGGACTCCAGTTCTGGTTTCTATGGGAATCTATAGTCCTCACTTCCAGCTGGGTTTTGGTGAATGGAATCAGTTTAGTGTGAATAATCTAATAACCGATCAACATTACGTTCAGTTTTTTTCTCATGCCAACCACAGCTAAACTGCTGGTACAAGCTTCAATTCATGTCCCGAAATGACTGAACAGCTTTGCCCTTCTGTACACCTTTACGAATACACGCATCCTCCTCTATGGCCCTCCACCAAAGAGAATGTGGGCCCCCATCTCAAATTCTTCAGCTCTGGACCAAAAGTTATCGGTGCAGCGTTGTGGGCATTTGGTGGTGCTGAGTATACCGAATACAGAACTAGGGGGGTATAAAGCCAGCTTAGTTTAACATTTATGGTTGGGATAAGTGTTAGAGTTACACTGAGCATTAAATATGAATGTATTGTGGAAGCCAAAAGCAAGCAGAGGAAAAAGGACCAGCAAACGGTATGGGCTGTGGTCTTCCTGCAGCTGAGGTTTCCCCAATTCTGACTTAGCATGCTTTGTTTTTCATTGGTCTCTATGTGGAGGTGGCCATCTTGGTAGAGGCAGGGCTTTGCTTCCTCATGACAGATACTCCGGAAAATAGAACAGTGAGCATCACAATAATGACATCACCAAATCACATTTTTCGCTGTAGACATTCAGTCTCCTTACAAATGTCTTCTGCTATCCACCCTGATGACCACCTCATTCACATCTCCAGGGCTCAGAATTATTATTATACAGGATTTATATCGTGCAGTTTGTGCAGCGCTTTACAAAATGAAGGGAGACATTACAGTTACAATACAATTTGGTACAAGAGGAAACAGAGGGCCCTGCTCCTTAGAGCTTACAGTCTACGGAGGGAGGGTTGAGTGATACAAAAAGGTAATATCTGTGGGGGGGATGAGCTGATGGAGGAAGTAAAAAGCAGTTTTCTATTTAGAAGCAGGATAGGCTTCTTTAAAGAGAAGGGTTTTCAGGGATCGTCTAAAAGATGGATAGAGTAGGAGATAGACAGATTGGGGTAGGGAGTTCCATTGGATGGGAGAAGCTCGGGAGAAGTCCTGGAGGCGAGATAAACCCCAACCCGCCATACCACCTTCTAAACCTGTTTTACCTTTTTTTTTCCCCTTCACATCCCTGATGTAAATATCTTTACCCTACAACAGGATTTTCCTGAAAGTCTTTCCAACTGTTGTTTCTACAATGCAAGTACAGCTGGCAAGGACAGCTTATATTTCTTCCTTCTTCTAGACCAGTGTTTCTCCACCTTTTTTTCAATCAAGGCATCCTTTAAAAATTCTGCACAAACCTCGAGGCACCCTTTAAAAAAATTTCACAACCTTGAGGCACCCATTACAAAATGTAAAAACAAAACTGATAGTTTTACAGAACACTAACATCTGCACCCAACGTCAGAGATGATTTATTCTTCCAAAGCAAATACATTTTTGCACACTGGTACTGACTACTGTTCCATTGTTTCTCTTCTCCTTCAGTTTCGCTCTCTGACTCAGCTAATGTGACCCCAGTGCTGACAGATAGGGGTGGGGGAGGGGCAAACAAGGATACTATGTAGATACCCGATGTCCTTCTCATCAACTGATGACATCATTGTTTTTTTATTGGTTGGTGGCTAGAAAGTTTTAATGGTGCACAATGAAAACTTGTGGCTTTGTGTAGCTAAAAGGCAGGCTTGATCCACCTGCTGACTTGTATACAGTTTTTGGGGCACTTTTTAGGCATTTTGCCAAGGCACGCTTGAAGAAACCTAGAAGCTGCCCAGGGTGCCTGGGCACCTTGGTTGAAAGGCTATTCTAGACTGTAAACTTGTCTAGTCAGGGCGCTCATTCCTAGTTTTGTCATATATTGGTTTCTAAATGGTAGATTGGTGGACTTCTATTTTCTTTGCATTGTTTGAAAGCACAGACGCCTTTGGGAGACCAGCAAACACAAATGCTCCTGCGTTTGGGGATGGACTCGATGCAGGCTACAACCACATTAAGAATGTACTGGAACATGCACACCTTGCTGCCCTCAAATACACCGGGGGAATCCAAATATACTGAATGAGGAAAGAACAAAGAGAGGGCACACAGGCCTAGTGCATTACCATAAGAAATGTTTAATAAGAAATAAAATAGGTGTTTGTACTCACAAACGAGAATAAAGTCAAGGCACATCATAAAAGAACAGCTGGGTCAACACCGCGCTGAGTAACAGTCCGCAATGGGGAGTGTAGACATCCAATAGGCTGACGCGTTTTGAGGACTTGCCTCTTCCTCAGAGCCCTTCCTCAGAGCTGTGAGGAAGAGGCAAGTCCTCGAAACGCGTCAGCCTATTGGATGTCTACACTCCCCATTGCGGACTGTTGACCCAGCTGTTCTTTTATGATGTTCCTTGACTTTATTCTCGTTTGTGAGTACAACACCTATTTTATGCCTTTGAGAGACCATTGCATCCACTATTTGCCATGTACTGAGCTGTCAGACAGCGGAGCTGATTCCAGTGGCTCTGTATCTTGTGATTTCCATGATAGCCAATCCTTGTTGATTCCAATCCTTCTTCTTACAATGGAAAAAGGACAGAAATTGTAGAAAACTACAAATGGGAAATAAGTGAATGGATCTACAACATGTATCAGTCTTTATGTTAGTTTACCATAATCCCTTGCAAAGAAAGAACACATTTTTGTCAAATCAACAGATATGTTGCTGATAAGAGAAAGTGAACATGTCAGCAGTGTGATGCTCCTTTTTTGTCCAATCGCCATGCTGGGGGGGGGGGGGGGGGTCCAGGACCAAACCTTGTTGTCCAAATGTAGTGGAAAACAAAATAAGTCACTGACCTGGTGATGGAGTGTGGTAGGGGTGGATGAGGTTACAAGGCTGAACAGAAGTACCAACCCCAGTCAGGTAAGACAATGCAGTTTTTGCCTATAAGAGGGGTGGGGGTAGGGGACCAAAATATTTTAGAGTTAGGACCACAGATGAAAAATGTACAGACAGGTTAATTCGACAATGGCTGAAGTTGTCCAAGAACATTGTTCTCTCTACTATGTGATGCCTGTTTATGTGTCCTTGCTTCATGTTATAGACTTGGGCGGAACTTTTAAGCATGAACAGAAGTACCAACCCCAGTCAGGTAAGACAAGTGACAGTTTACATATACTGTATATATATATATATATACTACCAATTGTACAAATGTTTAAAAATATATTTATTGATGTATTAATGATTACAGAGCTGCATTAATACGTGTCTTTTATATCTGCCTAGGGTTTAGCTTTTAGTAGAATGAATCTGCAGGATAACATAAAATGAGCACTTCTTAGAAATGTATAAATGGCAGTATCCTTAAATGTGAGTATACAGAATGGAGCCAATCTGTCCCGTATCCTGGGGTCAGAGGAGCAAACAGCCAACCACTGAATCACACGGCCTACTGAGCGCCCTCCGATGAATGCCCCTATTATCCTCCACTAGTAAAAACCATTTTCCTTAGTAAATAAACCCACAGAGGCCGGTTTCTGTGCCGTTCTCCATGGATTCTGCCAGGTCTATGTCAATGTCAAAGTGTCTGGGAAACGTCTGGATAGGTTCATGGACAATCCGGTTTATTATGCAAACCAAGACCTTCGCCACTGGAAGGTAAAAATAGAATAAAAACCATGAAAATAATCTACTACAGCATGAAGATTCTGTTATTTTTACACCAGTTAAAGTGTCCCTCTACCTTTCATGCTGCCCATACCTACAGTACACCCATACAATTGCTCACCATAGCCATCATTTTACCTTTCATGCCGCCCATACCTACAGTATACCCACACAATTGTTCACCATAGCCATCATTTTACCTTTCATGCTGCCCATACCTACAGTACACCCATACAATTGTTCACCATAGCCATCATTTTCATTTACATACAGTATACCCATACTATTGTTCACCATAGCCATCATTTTCATGCCGCCCATACATACAGTATACCCATACATTGTTCACCATAGCCATCATTTTACCTTTCATGCCGCCCACACCTACAGTATACCCATACAATTGTTCACCATAGCCATCATTTTACTTTTCATGCCGCCCATACCTACAATATACCCATACAATTGCTCACCATAGCCATCATTTTACCTTTCATGCTGCCCATACCTACAGTACACCCATACAATTGTTCACCATAGCCATCATTTTCATGCCGCCCATACATACAGTATACCCATACTATTGTTCACCATAGCCATCATTTTCATGCCGCCCATACCTACAGTACACCCATACAAATGTTCAATGTTCACCGCCCATACAGTACACCCATCAATTGTTACACCATACCCATTTTTACTTTTCATGCCGCCCACACCTACAGTATACCCATACAATTGCTCACCATAGCCATCATTTTACCTTTCATGCCGCCCATACCTCCAGCATGCCCATACAATTGTTCACCACAGCCATCATTTTACTTTTAATGCCGCCCATACCTACAGTATACCCATACAATTGTTCACCATAGCCATCATTTTACTTTTAATGCCGCCCATACCTACAGTATACCCATACAATTGTTCACCATAGCCATCATTTTACCTTTCATGCCGCCCATACCTACAGTACACCCATACAATTGTTCACCATAGCCATCATTTTACCTTTCATGCCGCCCATACCTACAGTACACCCATACAATTGTTCACCATAGCCATCATTTTGTTTTAGGTCTCATGCATGATAAGATGATAAGAGGCTAAAAATACATCAAGTGTGAAATTCTGGGCATTTTCTAAACGCTCCACTTGGTGACCCAAAAGGGGAACGTTGAATATTACAATTCAATATCTTATATTTACCAAACTGAAAAAAAATACA